ACAAAGTACACATACTGCCAAATACACAAAGTACACATACTGCCAAATACACAAAGTACACATACTGCCAAACACACAAAGTACACATACTGCCAAATGGTGTTGCAGTGCACCAACAACTCATGGGAAGGTCTTGTTGAGTGAGACGAGGTGTTCAGAGGAGCTCCAGGATAAGGGCATCGCTGAACGTTCTGGTGCTTCTCCTTGGGTTTCTCTCAGTCGAGACACAAACGAGAGATGGTGGAACGCCACACATGTTGATTTAAAGGAGCCAAATAAAGTTATTGTTGCGGACTGCCATCATGCCCACACACGAGGAACTGTTCTCAAATCTACGAGGAGTTAATGTTGAGTCTACTATTGATTTAACATCTGCCTACCTCCAGATGTCTCTGCATCCTGAGAGTCGTGATGTTACTGCGTTTATCACTCAGGATGGACTTTTTCATTTCTGCAGAGTTCTGTTTAGCTTCTGCCCCATCTGCCTTTCAAAAACTGATGTCATCATCGTCACAGGTTTGCCAGGTGTACAAGCGTACCTGGATGACATCATGTGCTGCGGCTCTACACAGAGAACATGATGGACATTCAGAGAGAGTGCTCCAAGCCCCGACTGATGCTGGACTCAAACTGCAGGTTCAGTCAAACTTCACTCTTCCTGAGTCACACCGTTTCAAAAGAAGGTCTTCGACCGCACCAGGACAGAGTCACTGCTGTGATCCAGGCTCCAGCTCCACATCACACGTCTTCTCTCAGATCCTTCCTCGGTCCTGCATCTTGGTACAGTAATTCATTCCAGATGTTGCAGCTGTTACTGAGCCACTATGTGCAGGGCTGAGACTCCACACACTTAAACTTCAGTGGACACTGGAAGCAGAATCCAACTTCACTGCACTTAAAGAACTGATCAATAGTGATCAATAGTCTGTTCACTATCACTTGTCCTGGTCGCTCTGTGCGGATTATATTGAAAGTCTTAGACCGCCCTGTCCATGCAGCAACAATCCACAGCACGGGGGGAACTAGTAACATGTTCCTGTGTTGTACTTTAGCAGAACACTAGTACATTTTACTAGCCTTAAAGAATACTTGTACCAGTCTGAACACCAGTAATTTACATTTTATTCTCACTTTATCTAACAGATTCAAAGTTTTGTCTCGTTTCTTCCCGCAGGTCAGACTTCAATGATGATGTGTCCTCTTCATCCCTCTCTCTCTCTTCCCACCTCCTTCTTTACATTTTAACTCTTCTCTCTTTTCTGCTTCGTCTTTTGTTTTGCGTCCTTGTGTCCATTAATCTGGAACAAGCCCAAAGCAGATTGTAACAAAGTTTAGTTAATGTATGAAGCCGAGCGTCGAGGCCAGCCACGATGCTCTGCTGGATGTGTCGGGCCTCACTGTGACACAATAATCCTGAGGGTCACAACGACCGACGGCTCAGGGATATTAAAGATTGTTGAAATTATTGATCAGGAATCAGGATCTTTCAGAGACGTGTCGTTCAACTCGTCCACATCTGCACCGTCCTGTTCAAACTCACTCCAACATCATGAAGTTAATGTGACACAATCCATCACTTCTTTGATTTACTCGTTTGTAACAACTCGTCGTCATGACCACCAGCAGGAAATGTTTTAGTGACAGAGCCACTGAACAGGAAACGTCCTGTGATCGTGTCTTCACTGGTTCCAGTCACTTCCGTCACGTTTCATTAATTCACTTACACGTTCATTCTTGGTGTCACTTTTTACTTCGTAACTTTTATTCCTCTGTCCTTCGATGAAACGTTTGTTAGCTGTTAGCCACATGCTGCTAACTCAGCCCTCACGTTGTAGCTGCTGCAAACTATGGACTGGACTTCCTGTGGACGGGTCTCATTACTCTGGATCATGAGACGCGACTCCGTTCAGGAAATCCAGTCCGTAGTTTGAAGACAACATCATGGATCGGAAATATCCGATACGTAAATCACGCTGGTATCGGAGGCCGGTACTGGATCGGCCCCATCCCTAGTTTGCAGGTATGAGTTTCATCAGAACCTGGTAAGATGTGAGGTCCAGTTCTGGTTCTGTTCAGGTCTGTGACCCTGTCCATGCAGGGACAGGACTGGGTTTTTTCTGGTCCTGGACTCAAACAGGTGACACAAAACCCTGAGCAGAACCTTCCATTTAACTAGGACTAGTACAAGACCCGGTGAGACTCAGAGCCAGATGTGTGTTCAGAACCAGTTCAGAGCAGTTCGGTTTAAAAATGAAGAGGTTTTATTCAGGACATAAAGACAGACCTGCTGCGGTCCAGAACCAAAGACCGGGTCTGGAACCGAGGCGGCAACATGAACTTCATGATGAATTTAAAGTGAGGCAGAAAAAACAGTTTGTTTTAAAAACGTGGCACTTCAACTAAAACTTAAAAACATTTAGGTATAAAAACAGCTGGAAATGGAACATGGTCCTGGTTCTTCTCCAGGAGGTCTGCAGAGTCTGGAACATGGTCCTGGTTCTTCTCCAGGAGGTCTGCAGAGTCTTCATGTGATGAGCTGTCAGGAAAAATACAATGTCAGAAAAATGAGCACGTTCAAAAATAAAAACATTAATTCCTGAACTTTTCCATGAAATCTGTTTCCTGGAAACTTTTAATGTTCTGGAACAGGTCCTGCTGGACCTCAGACCTGAACTGTTCACCTTCAGACCCGAGTCCCCCTGAACTGAGTCCCGACATGAGACCCGAGTCCCTCTGACCTGAGACATGAGTCCCTCAACCCGAGTCCCTCTGACATGAGACGAGTCCCTCTGACCTGAGACCCGAGTCCCTCTGACATGAGACATGAGTCCCTTTGAGCTGAGACATGAGTCCCTC